GAGTAAGCCAACAGTAAGTGAATGTTAAATATGCTTGGGACAAACCTAGATCTATACGTATGTATAAGGTTATCGAAACAATGCCATGGCGAATGCGTGCCATAATCAAAGCTAAAGGCGGTCCAATGAAATAGAAGAGCGTGAGACTTTCTTTTTATTGCCAGGCAGTGAAAATCTTTTAGACAAACTCGTGTGTCAACTGCAGTTAAGCTCTTATGGGATACGTGTTTGTAATATGTAAATCCTTTCGGTCTCTCTACATATTCCGCCTATCCCCACCCCTCATATTGGGCAAGTTTTTTCTATAACATTGCAGACTCAAATCTCCTAGATGTTCAGTGAGAAATGCATCAGTATATTGGATGGATTAATAATTCCTGATATGTTGAGCCGCTCTCTTCTTAAGTGGTCTTGTAGTTGATGGCACGTGTTGTGCATTGCATTTATAGTATGTTGATAAGTATACTACATTGTTAGTCTTGCGATTGGCATAGAGATTCACTTTTATTGGTAAAAGGAGATCTAAATTCTTCACCAGTTTCCATGGACACGCGACAGTTACATTGGTTGCCTCCACATTTAAAGGGACCTTTTATAGTCTAGCCATGTCTGACCTATCTGATCCTGTACAGGTTTGTGAAAACCTGGAAGACAACATAGTGCCCAAGTGGGCATTGTTCTACTCGCAAATCTTCACCCATTTAGTAGCACCTCATGTGATATAGAATCTTCGTACAATATTGGATCATTTCTCTTCAGCAACGACGGCAGGTTGTTGAGAAAGTGGGGAGAGAACAACTCTCGTAATGTGGACTTTCTTTTAAAGGTTTCCTTAACCGAGACAAAGACATTTCTTTCACTGCACTTGGACTCTATGCACCATCCAATTGGTATAACCTCTTGCTCCGAATCCATTCTCTTCCCGCTCTTATTTATTAACAGATCTTTGTCACAAGGATCCATTTGCCATTCTACATCAAGGTGGCCAGCTTTAGCAGCATGGCTGTTGAAGCCGAGCCCATGGAGACCAGAGCCTATCCGATTCCACTATACTTGCATCCCTCAGCTTAGAAAATTGACTTCTTACAGGGAAGAGTACTTCACATGGTGTGAGGCAAGGAAATTCCATCCCAGGATATACATCTTGGGAACGTACCCTGACCTTTCTCTAATCCAGTCTGGATCACCATTTGGGATTGAGTACTTTCAAAGGCCTGATCTCAGCTCTAGCAAGGCCACTTGCCTCTCATTCCTTGGGTAAAGCCCTTGTTCAGGGATACGTCCGTGAAGGTTCTCGTTCATTTAGATCATAGTATATCTGTAAAAAATAAATCAAGGCAACTGGACTTGCTGTATTTTTCCTGAAGACGTTTCACTGGTCATCCGACTAGCTTTCTCAATTCTGAATTGAGAAAGCTGGTCGGATGACCAGCAAAATGTCTTCAAGAAAAATATAGCAAGTCCCAGTTGCCTTGATTTATTTTTTACAAATATACTTGTTCAGGGAGTAGCCCGTCTAGCTATAACGGTATGTGTTCACCCGTGTCAGTGGAATTTCAACCTGGTTCTGTTGTCTCTTCAACAATCTTACTTTTTACATATCAAAAATCTTACTCTGCCAGCTCTCACCCACAAGTTGGCCTTCTTCATTGCCATGACCTCTATGAGGAGAGTTTCTGAGTTAGCGGTTCTTGTAGAGAACCTTCCTTTTCCTACAATGAGGTCTAGCTCAGGTGGTTTCTTCCTTCACCTTAGGCAGGGCATTGTAATTCTTTCCACTGCCCTGCTCATCCCAAGGAGATTTCCCTCCATAGTCTGGAAGTGGTACAAGCTGTTGGAGTTTACCTCTCGGCTACATATTTTGGACTAACTCTCTTCTCATTTCTTTGAGTCCCCTTATGGGACAACCTGGCTCTCATCCCACCATCTCTAGGTGGCTGGTGTAGCTCTTCATTCATATCTACAGACTTAGGGATGTTCCACCTTTTTTCCTAGCAAGATGCACTCCACTGGACCAGTAAGTGGGCCTTATAGAATCGGTCATTGCAAGGCTCCCACATGGTCTTCTGTTCTCTTTATTACCGGGTGGATGTGAGGAAAGAAATGCCACAGAGCGCTCATTCTCGTGACTAACCTACATGTCTCTATAGTGTTAAAAATAGTCAATCTGTGAATGCAATATAAAAAAAATACTTTAAACACTAAAATAATAACCCGATCTACACCTCTAATACACCAGACGCCGCCAATAAGGAAGGCCTAAGAAATGCTAACTTCCTATTTTCCTGATAACATAACAGATTTGTGTCACCAAGCCTTTCTATATTTTGAAGAGGAGGGGGGGCTTCCTCCGACTGAAGACTAAACTAAGTCCTATTCCCAGGCCGGGAGGAATGCCATATTTACATTCAGTGATGTAGCTGGACAGAGTTTCAGTGTAGACCGAGCTGGTAACTGTCCAACTGTGCTCGGGGTCTGCGTGTACTGCTTAAATGATGAGCATGCTTTAAACCAGGTGCATTTATTCTTCTTGACCCAAACTAACCCACCGTCCATGGGAGCATACCTACCTCCATCCGACTGTTTACATCCAGCATGACAAGTCTTCACTGTCTAAAGCTGCCCATACACCTTCCAATTATCTGCAGATTTTCTGTGGTCAGATGGAAAAAGTGCAACAGATTGGCCCAGTGGGAGATTCCTCCATCCACACAGTTAAGCGTAGATGGAGGAATATGTTGCTCTTTTTCCATCTGACCATAGAAACTCTGCAGATAAGGTGTATGGCCAGCTTTAGAGGACAATTAATTGAGATAAGAAAAGCAGGAGGTGTTCTGTAGTCCAGCAGAGGAGAACTGGCCCGGGCTGACAACACTGCTTGGGATTTCAGTAATTGCAGCAAATGGAAAGGCAAATCCTGGGGAATGTGCACATCTATTGCATATT